TTAGTAATATAAAGGGTCTATAATCTACCGCTATAAAGCCTAGAGTTAGGAGAGGCACCTTTAATACCCTTAGGAACCTCCTTAATACTAAGGATACTGCTAATGACGATAATAATAAGAAGCGTCCTTATAATAATATATCTATAAAGGCTATCCCTCCCGTAACGAGGAGGCCTTATAAGATATATAAGAACCCCTATACTACCGCCGTCTATTAGTACGTAAGGCCGGATATACGTACGCCCTTATACCTAGCGTGGCCGTGAAGATATTATAAAGGTTATGGAAAAGAAGATACGTAATTATAGTTTTAAAAGCCGCGTAGATACCGCGATATAGAAGAGGCGGGAAGCCTTAGGGGCTATCACCGCTAATAAGATAGAGGAAGTCTAGGAAGATTAAATCTAGAATACTACGCTTAGTATAACTACTATATAATAAAATCAGGGGGTTACTAGACCGCCCGTAAGTATAGCTTTAAAAGACCTGTCCGTTACTACGACGGGGAGACTAGGCGCTTACTTAACCTAGGGGGTAGCGCGCTATCGTTATACGACGACACTATTAAGATTATGATAAGAATAAGGGGTATCCCTCTTTATTAACTAAGCTAAAGCGCTATTACACTACGCGATCCTAGACTTAGGATCGTTAATCTATATCTTTAATAATTAAGGCCGTTTTACGGTTATGAGACTACCCACGGATACTTTATCTTTATCCCTTTAGGTAGGGACTTATAAGGCTTCTATCCTCGGATATGGAGATATTAAGCTACGTGTATAATTCTTATCGGGTATAAAGAGGCTATTACGCCTCAGTAACGCCGTATACTATAAGGAATTCGTTACTAATACCGTCTTAGAACGCTAGCTACGCCTATAAGGTTACCGCTAGGATACCGTAAACGATACTATTATTAGCTCCGCCGATAACCGGCCTATCTATAAGTTATTAGATATCCACGGCTAGTATATAATTGAGCGCGCGGAAGCTATGGCCGCTACCGCGTTCGCGGTCTCGGTAAGGCACCCCCGCGATAACCCGTATAGAAGATCACGATAACCGCGGTAACCGTAGAAGACTATAGCGTAGCGGTGGCACGAATGCCTTAGCCACTACGGCACCGATACCCTTATAAGGATTATTAACGCTACTTAGGGGGGAAGAAGAAAAGGACCGTGTACCGCCGATTATAACGCGTAAAGGTAATCGTAAATGCCTATATAGATCCAGCGGATACTATCCCTTTGCCCGTTAAAGCCCGGAGAGGCCTTAGCTATTAATTTTCACGATCTAGAAAAGGCGGAGTTATTAACGGGCGGCCTATATAAGTCTATTATATTCGTTATAGACGTGTATATAGGTTCTATGTAGGATTACTACCTATAGAAAAGAGACTAAGGCTTTATCCTGCACGCGTTAAAAGACGTCTTTACCCTACTTAAGACCTAATTCGACGCTAAGCCACGCGTCCTATAGGCCGATTCTAAGATATTTTAGCACCTAGAAATCGTTGCTTTCCTCGCTACTAAGAGGGTGGAAGGTTAGCCGTCAGCACTATATTTATAGGATTAGAATAGCGTTATAGAACGGATTAAAGGTATTGTTAAAAGGAGGGCGAGGGCTATAAGGATTAGGGCTAATCTGCCTATATCTATCTAGCCTAAGATCTTTAAGACTACTATATATCTATATAATATGACGCCACGATATATTAACGACTAGCGAACGCTATATAAAGGCCTGCGTGGCTGGTAACCTAACCTTATATACGTATAAGCTTACGGCTATAAAACCTTTATAAAAATGCGTAATACCTAAGCTAAAAGAAACCGCCTATAAAGGCTAGAACCGAAGGTATAGATTAGTTATTATATCGGATACTAATCCTCGAATAGCTTCTGAATTTAGCTACTATACCTAACGGATATTATCACTATAAGAGATATAGTCTTTAACGAAGACGAGATATTTAATAGCAGGATTAAAACGCTTTAACCTATAGCTTCCGCTCAGGAAATCGGGGAGCGCCTATAATCTATCCGTATTACCTAATCTAATAAGACCGCGAATAGGCTATTATTAAGGGGTATAGCCGTAAACGTATTAGATCTTAAGTCGGAAGACTCTAACGCCACCGCTATTATTACAGGTCAAAACGACGCTACCGCTATTATTACGGACAAAGGCAAGACCGTCGCTATTACTACGAGAGAGGCCACTACTATTATTATAGACGAGGTTCTAAATCTATAGCCTAATACCTAGGCTATAAATTTAGAACCTTATAACTCTAAAGCCACTACTATTACTACGGGTAAAGGCGAGGCCGTTATTATTACCATAAGAGAGGCTATTACTATTATTATAGACTATACCGCTATTACTATAGGCACCGCTATTATTATAGATACTACTATTAATATAGGAGAAGACTATACTACCGCTATTACTACGGGAAAGGCTACCGCTATTACTATAGACACTTCGCGGTTTACCGCTACGAGGTTTAAATCCTTTCCTACGCCCCTAATATCCCCGGAAGACCCTGCGCGCGCGTTCCTTATAGCGTTAGCGGTAGTCAGGGGCGTTAAGGTGGAAGGAGACGATAACTATAAACGGGTAGCTATAAATACCCTTAGGGGGTGCCTATCGGCTATACGCCTATTGGCCGCGCGGCTATCTATCACGAGAACTATTATAAGTTTATACACGGCGGAGAAGGTCTAGAACGATAACGCCTAGAAGGCGTTCTTTAACGCTAGAAGGACTTATAACCCTATACGCGTAAGGAAGTAAGCTATTAATAACGGCGATATCGGTGCTATAAATTGCACTCCCTTTAACACTTCCTAGCCGCTATCGCACGTAACCCGCGAGGATCTCCCGCCTCCACTAAAGCACTACCGTGATATACGCCTTTACCTATTACGGGAGCGGTAGTTATAGGCTAAGGGGGAATACCTTAAAGGGTACCGATAAATAGGATACTAATAGGAGGTAAGTAGTAATTAGGCTAATAAGTAATAAGTCCTCGCCTGTAAATAGGTATATATCTATAAATGTAATAAAAAGGGCACCCTCCTTAAGTATAAGGTATACCTTATAGTGCGAGGGGATTAATAAAAACGGTTAGAGACTAAAGATAACTACGCCGTAACGCTAGCCTCGCGGTCCTTCCGTATACTAATAGCGATCGCTATACGATTTAACCTAGAAATAAGGCAGTTCGCCGCTATTAACGCGTTCGTTAACACTAGCCTTAAAGAGGAAGTATTTATAAAGATACCGTAAGGCTACGAAGTGCTAGGTAAGGTACTACTACTACGAAAAGCCCTCTTCGGTTTAAGGGTATCGCTACTACTATAGTAAAAGGAATTTAGCGGCGCGTTATAGAAGATAGGATTCACGGCCCTGCCTAACAACCTCTATATTATAATCCGCGATAGTGTAATCCTATTCTTTTACGTTAACGATATCGGACTTATCTACTATAGAGATTATAAGACTAACGCCGATAACCTTAAGGCTGCCTTTAAATGAAGCTATAGGTTATCAGGAGGCGATAAAATCCGTTAGTTCCTAGGAATTAAGGTTCTAAGGGATAGAGCTATACGTAGGTTATAGCTATTATAATCCTCCTACGTGGAGAAGATCGCGGTTAAATACTACGTAGATATCCTCTACCGAAAACCACTAAAAGTCCTATTATCGACTATAGAGCCGTTAATACCACGCGACGGTATACGCGCGTTAATTCCCGAGGTCCGCCTATATTAGGGTATAATCGGTTCTATCCTATATACCGCTATCGTGATAAGACCCGATATCGTGTTCGCCTATTCGAAGCTTTCCTAATATAACGTTAACCCCTCCTCTAACTACCTTAAAAGGACTTAACAAGTGCTGCTATTCTTATACTATATAAGGTATTACTGCCTAGAATTCGGTGGGGATAGACTCTTCCTAACCGTAAACGACGCGTTCTTCGGGGATAATCTAGACCGTAAGAGCTTATAAGAATATACGATAAAGCTCCTCGGCGGCACTATTAACTAGAAGGCGGGTAAGTAACCGACGGTTACGATATCGTTAATAGAGTTAGAACTACTCGCGTTTATAGAGGCCGCTAAGAAGACGTTATTCGTTAGTCGGATATTAAGGGATCTAAAGCTTTAGTTAGATTAATAGTAACTATAGCTATACTACGAGAATTAGTAGACTATTAACCTTATTAATAAAAAGGTATAACGCCTACGAATAAGGCTACAGTATATCGATATTTATAACTAGTAGGTATATTAGTTAGTATAGCAGGGCCTCTTTAAGGTCACGTATATTAACACGAAGGAGATAATCGCGGACGGTTTAACGAAGGTATTACCGGAGGTAGGGATTAAAAGACTATAGTAATAGCTTAATTTAACGGATTAAAAGGACCGTATCGAGTAGTTTAAACGGCTACACGAAGAGATCGAACGCGCTAAAGCCGTAGCCACTACGAAGGCCCCTAAGGGCGTAGCAGATCCGATAGATATAGATCCGATTAAGTAGATCCGGCTAATTAGGATCGAGGAACTAATTAAGATAGAATTAAATTAAACGGTTAAATAGGGCGGATTTAGATCCCTTTTACGAGGCCGTTTTCCCTTAACTGTTGATTTTACGATGGAAAAGTTAAGAGTATTCAGTTTAAACCGAAGCCTCTAATTAGTTAGTTAACCTGAGAAGACCCACCTTAACTAAGGGGGTGTGTCGTATAGGCACACGGACTACGACGTGGTCTATAAGAGATCTAGGGGGGATCCACGCTATAACTAAGGGCTTCGGATATAACAGGGGCGGATACCGGAAAAGACCGGATAGGATCTAAATGACTTAGTACCTATAACAGAGTCTTTACCACCTAAATTAAGGGTATAAGAGACTCTCCTAGATATAACTTAACATAATACACACACACGAGATTTCTGCTCTACTAAGTTGATCATTCAAGTGCCTATTTGACGTGCGATAAACGCTGCCACCGTATTTTATATAGTGCAGATTCTATAAGCGTCCACCCGGATTGTACTCTTGGTAATCCGGCCCATTACGTAACCGAAAAGACTGTCGTCTGTTCGACAGAACAATGTACCCACGCTCCCCGTATGATTACTGAACACTCTTATTAACTAGCACACACCTCTCGCCAAAACTGAGCAGTAGTGATAACCGTCGAGACGTGTCTTTTGTTTTCTAAGGTACCTTATGTTACAGACAAGATATACAAGTGTACAAGAATAAATGTGATCCTGACAGGGTTCAAGAAAGGCCTCCACGAATGACCAGCCTGGACCATGCCTGTACATTGTGCTGAGACATACGCATATGCCCGGTTGCTGCTCACCTGTCGAGTCCATACGTCTGTGAGCTACCACTCACGAATACCTCCGAGGCATGTGCGTTCCTGTTATGAGAGCCCCTGGAGCCCCAACCACGCTGGGTTTGGTATTCGTGGGCTAGTGGCTGAGTTGACGCTCGCAGTTGAAACTCCTCAGTCTTCGGCGCAGCGTTGTAGATTTCGGCCTTTCCAATTGTTTCCTTCAATATTACCTGCGCCTCCTCGTTCGCATCATTGACTTTGATGATGACTTTGCCTGCAGAGTTGACATTGGCAGAGCGGGGCTCGACGTAGCACTTGGCACCACCCTCAATCTCGGCATCAAATGTGGAAATGCCAGGCACTCGGGCCCTGCCACTGCGGTACGTTTTGCGGTTGAGAGCCGAATCGCCCTGGGGAGTGTCCGTGATGAAACCTGCGACGCCGAGCTTCGCGGGAGCCGACATCATCCTGGGTGAAATAATTCTAGCCAGCACAGGCGAAGGGTGGGCTTGAGGTCCGTAGAGAGGGTGGTTTTCAGCATGGGCGTTGGAGCGCAGGTACGAGAGGCCAGCTGAAGGGTGAGTAACGGGCGGTCCACGCTCCGCGTAAGGGTTGGGCGACTTGGACTCGATGCGGGCGCCGATCGACATGTTGGCGATCGCGCTGGGGGGATTGAGGGGGGCCAAGTCGAGAAACTCGCTCACCACCGCGAAAAGGGTGACTCGATCAGCTCGCAGTCTCCGCACATACTGACTGAATTGCTCATCCGTGATGTCGCGGGGCTGAACCGGTGTCGGCGGGTCAGCTGCTTTGTCTAGGGCCTCCTGTTGCTGCGACGCAGTAATTTCGGAGGCCAAGCGCGCTTTTAAGAAGTCACGGAACTCTTGTCGCTTGTTCCGGACCGTTGTTCTCAAGTATTTGTTGAATTCGCCCTCGGTCATGCCAGCCAGCCATGGGCCTTGGAACCTCCACCTCTTGTCGGCACCAGAGGCGCCTTGCGCAGATTCCGGTGCGATGAAGTCGCTGTCTTCTTCGAAAACGGATGTCACGGCTTGAGAGATCATGCGGTACCGATTCGGAAGTGCAGGAACCGTGATTGGCAGATTGAGTTCGTGAAACTTCTGAAGCGTCAGGCTATGCTCGGAGGACGATGCGTAGTCGGTCACATTCTCTATGGAATCAATGTGCTTGACCCGAATGGAAGGAGTCGATGTCTTCGCCGTCCATCGCAAGGGAAGTGGGCGCTTCAATCCCCAGTCACCACGAGCTCTTGAGCTCTCCGGCGTGGTGATGGACAGATGGGTCGGAAAAGCCAATGTGCCCAATTGATGGCGAACGTCTCCTGAGGTTGGTGCGGGTATAGGGTTGGGGATTGAGAACATGCGAGATGATCTCAGGAGAGCCCCTCCGGGGGATAGTCGAGCAGACATGGTCCGTTAACGCTCCAGGATGAGCCACGGCCCTCCTAATCAAGAAGGTGGAAGTTGAGGCGAGATGTGAACTCTCGCAGGTGGATGTCAATAATGTTTTCCTAGGTTATGGACCGAGTTTCTGGATGCTCTCACAAATCTTACCTCCGTCACGTGCCATTGGTCCGAGTTGCAGTAAGACGCCCCACCACCGGAGTAGAGACTCTGTGGACATAGTCACCCACACGAGGGTAACTAGACCCATACAGGACCGCTTATATACGTGGATCACCTGATAGCGTGGTATATTATATTATTAGCTATAACTATATATATTATAGATAGTCACTTAGCTAGATATATATATACGTTTACACCTATATTACTATATTCTAATAGTAACTATTGGTCTTAATAATCGTTAAGACGTCGCGTATCACGATACTAGTCCGTAACAGATACTAGCTATTTTCTAAATCGCTAATCTTCAGGTTTCTGTAATCTCTCTTATTACCCGTTACCCTTTATCCCTTATATAGCCGGACGGCATTCTGTATACTAGATACCTTATCAGCTATGCCTAGAGCTAAGGTAAATGTTCCGCTTATATTATATAGTAGGATCTCGATATCGTATAAATAATCTTATAAGAAAATAACACTAAAGATTTTTATCATACTAATCACGAAATCCTATACCCTATAGAGTAGGCTAAGAATCGAGTGGCTTTCTTCCGTAGGACGCTATTATGAGTTAACCCCGATATAAGGATCCCGCTATACCCCGGATCTTCCTGACTGCGTGCTTAGTTAACAGACCTATATCGCCTAGTTATCGCTACCTTATAGCTAGCCTAGCGTTATAGACTTTTCTTATTTTTCCTTCTTCCTTCCTTAGTTTTAGATAATCTATTATTACGACCTTACTTAGTACTATAATCTATAACTAGTTATTTATAAATCTAGAACTTAGCGATACCCACGCGCTATGCTAGCGATAGATTAGAATCCTAACGCTACTACCTAGTAACCTATTAGAATTAAATAGGTTATAGAGTAAATAAATTAACGGTTCGAAGAAAACGACTAAGCCCTAAATATAAGGCTAGGCTCTTTTTATAAATAATATACTAATATTAATATAAGGCTTACTCCGATATAAGAGTATTATTCGGAAATAAGCTAATGTATAGACTAATAACGCGCGAGAGAAGAAGCTAATAAGCGATAATGCCTATTAGTCGAATAGCTTATAGCTCGGCTCCTAGGATCGCCTACTCCGTAAACCTAATACCGCCTAACTTAAATATTCCGGCTCCCTTATAGACCCTAATAATTCTTATACTAATAGAGTCTACGCTATTACCGGTTTTATTACTAGCGTTATAGCCGATAATAATAGTAATCGCCCCGACCTTAATAGTAATACCCTATAAAACTATTAATAGCCCGACGAAGTTCTTAGGGAAGCGAGTATACTATACCGTATAGGCTTACACGATACGGTAAAAGCTTATAATCGATAACGACTTATTCTAGAATAATATATAACCTTAGTATACGATTTATAATTACCTAAAGCCCGAAGTATAATAGATCGTATCTGTCGTACGTTAAATAGCACTTATATAATCAACTTAGTAGAGTAGAAATCTCGTGTATATGTATTATATTAAGTTGTATCTGTGTGAGTCTCTTATACCCTTAATTTAGGTAGTGAAGACTCTGTTATGGGTACTATATTATTTAGATCCTATCCGGTCTTTTCCGGTATCCGCCCCTATTATATCCTAATACCCGAGGTCCGAAGCCCTTAGTCAGGCATAGATCCCCTATAGACTACGCCGTAGTCCGTGTGCCTATACGATACGCCCCCTTAGTTAAAGTGGGTCTTCCCAGGTTAACTAACTAATTAGAGGCTTCGGCTTGAACCAAACGCTCTTATCTTTTCTATCGTAAAATTAATAGTTAAGGGAAAACGCCCTCATAAAAGGGATCTAAATCCGCCCAATTTAACCGTTTAATTTAATTCTATTTTAATTAGTTCCTTAATCCAGATTAGCTAGATCTACTTAATCGGATCTATATCTATCGGATCTACTACGCCCTCGGGGGCCTGTATTATCGCTACGACCGCGGCTTTAGCGTATTTAATCTCTTTATACAGTTACTTCGACTACTCGATACGATCCTTTTAATCCGTTGAATTAAGCTATTATTATAGTCGTTTAATCCCCGCCTCCAGTAATACCTTCGTTAAACCGTCTATAATTATATCCTTCGTGTTAATATATGTAATCTTAAAAAGACCTTACGATACTAACTAGCGCGCCTACTAGTAATAAATATCGATATACCGTAGTCTTATTCGCAGGCGTTATGCCTTCTTATTAATAAGGTTAATAGTCTGCTAATTATCGTAGTATAGCTATAGTTATGATTAATCTAACTAAAGCTTTAGATCTCTTAATATCCGACTGATAAATAATATCTCCTTAGCGGCCTCTATAAAAGCGAGTAATTCCGACTCTATTAATAACGTTATAATTTTCGGTTACTTACCCGCCTTCTAGTTAATAATACCGCCGAAAAGGTTTATCGCGTATTCTTAGGAGCTCTTACGGTCTAAATTATCCCTAAAGGACGCGTCTCTTACTGTTAGGAAGAGTCTATCCCCACCGAATTCTTGGTAGTAGTGCCTTGTATAATATAAGAATAGCAGCACTTATTAAGCCCTCTTAAGGTGGTTAGAGGAGGGGTTAATAGTATATTAGGAAAGCTTTAAATAGGCGAACACGATATCGGGTCTTATCACGATAACGGTATATAGGATTAAACATATTATACCCTAATACTAATAGACCTCGGGAATCGACGCGCGTATATCGTTGCGTGATATTAGCGGCTCTATAAATAATAGGACCTTTAATAGTCTTTAGCAGAGGATATCTATATAGTATTTAACTACGATCTTCTCCACGTAGGAGGATTATAATAACTATAACCTATATATAGCTCTATCCCTTAGAATCTTAATTCCCAGGAACTAACGGATTTCGTCGTCTCCCGATACCCTATAGCTTCGTTTAAGGGTAGCCTTAAGGTTATCGGTATTAGTTTTACGATCTCTATAGTATATAAGTCCGATATCGTTAATGTAAAAGAATAGGATTAAACTATCGCGGATTATAATATAGGGGTTATTAGGTATAGCCATGAATCCTATCTTTTATAGCGTACCGCTAAATTCCTCTTACTATAATAGTGGCGATACTCTTAAACCGAAAAGGGCTTTCCGTAGGAGCAGGACCTTACCTAGCACTTCGTAGCCTTACGGTATCTATATAAATACTTTCTCTTCAAGGCTAGTGTTAACAAACGCGTTAATAGCGTTAAACTACCTTATCTCTAGGTAAAATTAGGCGGCGATAGCTATTAGTATACGGAAGGACCGCGAGGCTAATATAATAGCGTAGTTATCTTTAGTTTCTAAGTTTTTTTATTAATCCCCTCGTACTATAAGGCGTGTCTTATACTTACGGAGGGTGCCTTCCTTATTACATTTATAGATGTATACGTATTTATAGGTAAGGACTTATTATTTATTAGCCTAATCACCGCCTACCTCCTACTAGTAGCCTATTTATCGATGGCCTTTAAGGTATTCGCCTTTATCGCATGGGCAGGACCATAACGGGGTCTATAGGGGATCTAGGGGGGATCCACTCCCTAACTAAGGGCTTCGGACCTCGGGAATCAGGATATAACAGGGGCGGATACCGGAAAAGACCGGATAGGATCCAAATAATATAGTATCTATAACAGAGTCTTCACCACCTAAATTAAGGATATAAGAGACTTATATTGATATAACTTAATATAATATATATATACGAGATTTCTGCTCTACTAAGTTAATTATCTAAGTGCTATTTAACGTGCGATAGTTATAAGCCCGGTTTATAACGCCTAAATAATATATATTAATAAGGCTACCCCTATTCCACTATAAAGAAGTAATTATATTGACATAAGTACTCTTACATAACTACGATTAACCTAATTAGAGTAATTAAGAGATTAATTAACCTACCTATTAATTAACTCACCGATAAATAATAAACTAATAAAGATATCTTCTAATATATCTAACGCCGAATAGAAGGCGACCGCTATTACCCTTATTAACTAAAGGGATTAGGTAATATAGGAGCGCGCCGTGCACGGTAAATCTACCTCCTACTAGGAAAACTATCTTAATCTAAAGCTAAGCGACGAGGAGGCCGATACCTACCTACTTCTTAAGCCTACACTACTTAATATCCGTAAATATAAGGCCCTTACTATAAACCCTAACACGGAGGAGGCTACGGCTTCCACTATCACGGCTACTCCGTCTTCCACTATTACGCTAAAGGGTGACGAGGACGCCACGGATACCGCCGTTATTACGGCCGTTACTATAGCGGCCACGGCTATCGGTAAGAAGAAGACGGCCCCCCGCCGGACAGCCACGGCTATAACGAAAGAACCACTAACCAGGACGCCTATATCTATCGATAACCTCTTTAAAAAGGGGCGTACACGCTACCTATAAAATCGCCGCATATACCGCGAAGAAAAGGCAGATTACAACGCGTAGTAAAAGGAGTTTCATAAGGTATACTCCTATATTAAAGGGACTATTTATATTATATTATATAGCCTCCTAGCCTAGCTATAGGACGATACCGTAAATAACCCACGGGCCTAGATTACTCTCCTATACGCGTACGTAGGACTAATATTTATAAACCTCTATAAGGAAGCCCTGGTTATATACCGATAATACACCACGCCTATAAAGGCTATACTTAAGGATATAGACGCTTAGGTAGTAAGCTAGAAAATAGCGATAAAACACTATAAATATATATGTATTTTAGAGTTATTAAGCACGGACTATTAAGCGGAAAACGCGTTAAAGGCTATTAGACTTATCGCCTAGGAATAGAGCAATAACTACCTAGTAAATAATTACGATAAGATTACGGAAAACGAGCTAACGATTAACGACTTTATAAAGGCTTTACGGGCGGTTCTTAGTAATATAAAGAGTCTATAATCCTCTACTATAAAGCCT